AATTCATAAAAAACTTTGCCGCGTTAGCTTCTCCAATTACCGATACGCTCAGAAACAGAAAGAAATTTGTTTGGACTGAGGAAGCTCAACGAGCTTTTGAAATCTTGAAAGAACACATGTGTACGGCCCCTGTGTTGCATAGCCCAAATTTTGACGCTCCATTTTCCATCCATTGTGATGCAAGCAACACTGGAGTGGGCGCGGTTCTAATGCAGGACGACGCCGAGGGAAACGAAGTTCCAATCTCCTTTATGTCCAAGAAACTAAACAAATGTCAATCAAATTACACAGTCACAGAAAAGGAGTGTTTGGCAGCTGTTTTGGCGGTAAAAAAATTCAGGGCATATGTGGAGGGACAAGAGTTCACAATTATTACCGATCACGCGTCCTTAAAGTGGCTAATGTCCCAGGGAGACCTCAGTTCTCGTCTTGCACGATGGTCCTTAAAATTGCAGGGATTTAAGTTCAAAATCAGCCATAGAAAAGGAAGTCAAAATGTAGTACCAGACGCCTTGTCAAGGACTTTTACGGAAGACCTTTCGGGCTTGGAAATATCTAGTTTAGTGGATATGGATGCCAGTGAGTTTAAAGGGAAAAATTACGAAGATCTAAAAGCAGCTATTTCCACAGGAGTACAACAATTAGGTGAGGTTAAGGTCAGCAACGGATTTGTTTATCGTCGCGCTGAGCACGCTGCAGACGAGAAAGTGGCAGATGAATCCTGTTGGAAGCTGTGGCTGCCTAAAGAGCTAGTTCCAGATTTGTTAAAAAAAACGCATGAAGATCCCTTAGCAGCACACTGTGGCATAGCCAAAATGTTAGAAAACTTGAGAAGATATTTCTATTGGCCAAATTTAGCGGTAGATGTAAAAGATTTTGTCAATAGGTGCGAAGTGTGCAAGACAACAAAGCATCCCAGTCAGACTTTGAGACCAGCCTTGGGAAATACTGGCCAATCTGAAAGGATTTTTCAAAGGCTCTACGTTGACTTTTTAGGGCCGTATCCGCGTAGCTCGGAAGGGCATATAGGGCTTTTTATTGTAGTCGATCATGCTTCAAAGTTTCCCTTTCTGAAAGCCGTAAAGAAATTTACCACAGAGGCTATTCTTCCATTCCTTGAAAAAGAAATCTTCCATTGTTTTGGCGTACCGGAAACTATTATTTCCGATAATGGAGTGCAGTTCAAATCAGTGGCGTTCAACGCTTTACTTGAGAGATATGGGATCGCACACTCCTATACGGCGATTTACGCTCCACAAGCCAACGCCTCAGAAAGGGTCAATAGATCGGTGTTAGCTGCCATCAAGGCGTACATAGATCCGAGTCAAAAGAACTGGGATAGTAAACTTAGTAGCATCTGTTGCGCGTTGAGGTCAAGTTTTCATTCGGCCATAAAAACGACACCGTACAGAATGGTTTTTGGGCAGCACATGGTAGTAGATGGAAAATCATATAAAATCATTAGGGAGCTAGGATTGCTAGAGGATAGAAATGTACAGTTCAGTAAGGATGACTCGCGAGACATAATAAGGCGTACGGCTCAGGATTCGATGGAAGCCCAAAGGGAAAGGAATGAAAGGGCTTATAACTTGCGGAGCCGAATTGTGTCTTACAGACCGGGTCAAGAGGTCTTTCGCCGGAACTTCCAGCAAAGCAACTTCGCAAAGGGTTTTAGCTCAAAGCTAGCACCGGTTTTTATAAAGTCTAGGATCCGAAAAAAACTGGGTTTGGCCTATTATGAAATTGAGGACCTCCAGGGAAGGTTAATTGGCAAATACCACGCGAAAGACTTGCGACAATAAGACAAGCTGGGATCTCCCTTGTGTCGATAGCTCACCCCAAGTGAGATTTTGGTGGGGGGGAACTGTAGGATTGCTTGTCTTTTGGCTAAGATTGCTTTCGGCCCAAAAGTAGGCAACAGAGTTTGGTCTACATGGTTTAGTAGAAAATATAGTCTCTTGAGCCAGAACTCCCAAAACTTCACCAAATTGGTGAGTAGGCTTGAGCGACAGGTCGGACTCAGGGTCCCGACCCGAAGTCAATTTCGTTTGGAGTCACACCAAAATTACCAGTGGATCGAAGAAGAAGTTAGTTGCAAGTGCAAAGATCAAAGTTACACAAATTAAAGGAAATCCATAATTTCCAAAATTCCCGGCAATCGCCGTTGCAAGTGGCTTAAAAACCAAAAAAACACAAGTGCTAAAGTGCCAACCCCTAGTGGGTAAGTTTTTTGAGTGCGAGAAGTTGATAAAGTGGTGTTTGAACGCCCTAATGTTTTTAGGTGGCACCTAATTACATAACCCCGGTCCGCCAAAAGCCAGGCTTGGGCGTATGAGGCGTCTGCAGAACGAAAGGCCAACCGGAAGCAATCTCAAAATCGCAAAAGGCCAACCGATCAATCAGCACCAGCAGCAGCAGCAGAATCCGAGATCCCTCAGCAGCAACCAAAGCGCCGAGAATTTGATATTTATATTTATATTATCTACATATTTATTCTACTTTCTACATCAACGTTTATATGTTGTAGAGTAGCCCAGTAGCCAGCGAAATTTAGGCTAGGGTCCATTTACCGGCAATACCGTCCGTAAGCCGTAGGGAAATATAGCCCAAGAAAAAAAAATGAATTAATCAACCCCTCAAATACAAAATCATTTCGAATTACATTTAAAACTTAAAGTTTCGAATTTTACGCGTCATTATACGCAACTAGAAGCAGATTGAAGCTGAATTTTAGTTTAAGTAATTTAAGAGAATAGTTATAATCAAGAGAGAAGGTCAATAACAGGAAAATATGCATTAGAGCTGAGCAGTCCCGTCTTCCCATGTACGTTTCCCTTCCCTCTCCCATGTCTTAACGGCAGAGTACCGTACCGCTGTAGAGTACGAGTAAGGCAAGTGAGAGTAACGCTAGCGATCTCTTATGTAGTTGAGGTTCTCTTTCACAGGCCCCCTTCGAGAAGCGCTTCTTCGTGGGAAAACAAAGTGAGTCGATTTAATGTCATAAGAATCTCAACTACCCTTTTTAAATAAAACAAAAGTCTAAAGAGAAAATTTAACTTGTTACAAAATTTAAAATTCACCCCTTCTAAATGCCGTACTAAAAAAAAAAAAAAAAAAAAAAAAAAAATGATGAAAGAAACTCCAAATTCCAAAATTTTTCTCCCATAAAACCCTACCCAACTCCCTGCTCAATAAAATAAAATTTTAAGTCTCACATATAATGGCATAATTTTACATGCCTACACCCATTATACCCGCTCTCTACATTTGTATTATTTCATGTAAAAGCTAGATGGTATATACATGAGCACTGAAATATTCAGCGATCGCTAAATTTAATTTTTATTCATTAAATTCGCATTTTTAAGTTCAATCTATATGTTAATCACTTCTTAGGATCCTAATGCTCTTGTTTAGAATTAATTTTTGTCAGTTAATAGGATTATTCTATGGTTAAAAATAAAATTTATAATGTCATCTAAAGTTGAGTAGAGTCAATAGGGAAGCCATGCGTCGTCGAATGTTATCTGTCGTGTAAAGTGTAGTCGCCTTTTTGGGATCGCCATATATATATCTGGTCGATGGTGATCATGGTAGGGAGGGCACGTCAGCACAAACAACCGCTGGCATAAAGGCACTACATCCTTGTTCGTCCTTGTCTGTCCTTTGCTAGTCAATAGTCCGGTCCATTAGTCCTGCGGAGATCCTCGTACCCTTTAGCACGCGAAGTAATAAGATTTTGTTGTTTGTCTATAGAGCAAGTAGCAGCGTTCCTAAAACCTATCCCCGACCCCCCTCTACTGGTAACTCATGCCGGAACCAGCGCGTGCTCAACGTAGGCTACAAATTACACCAGCTCTCGAAACGTAGTTCGCTACAACATCCCTCGCATAAAATGAGGGTATTTTACTAGTGCGTCGACTCTAGCAAACAATGTCGGGCATAAAAAGTCATTTTCATGTTGTTATGGCCAAAGTGCAGAAATTCTGAAAATTCATCTTTTCAATTTCGCCCCCCACCAGCACTTTTATGCAAACTCTCGTTTTTGTTGCTGTCAATTTCACAGATTAATGCGCACACATTTCAACGCCAAAGTCGGCAGAAACATTTATTATTGACAATGGCCAAAAGTTTTGCCATTCGCTTTGCCTTCTGGCCAACATCCTTCTTCTGACCAGACGGCGAAGCGACAAAAATTGATTTACAGTATAGATATTTTAATCATCAAAGCTCTTGGCTGTTAGTTCTTAGTTACATGCTATTCCATTCACCCCCGAAAAATCAAATTTATGGGCCACGTCGAAGGAAGAGAAGCGTCTGCCCCAAAAACACACAATTTATGGCCTTACATTGGGCGAATGGGCGGTGGGTGGTAAATGGGGGCGTGGCAGCCTGTTGAGTAAGTTTTCGGTGTTATTTCTATGCGAATAAGAAGCTTTTCCGGTGGCCTTCGGGCTGTTTACTTTCAGGAGTTGTATTTCGCGTGGTCGCAAAAAGGTTTCCCTGGTACTTTTTGGCAAAGACTTAGAAACTCAATTTAAGCACCCTTCCCGCAACTAATAACTTTTGCAAGAACTTGAAAATTATTGATCGGTTATGGAAAATATTTTATAGGAATTTTGGTAGTCGCAAATTCGTTGTACATTTAATTTGATTCCCAAAAAGCCTTAGAATGGAAACAAGATATTAGAAATATTAATATTGAATAATAAAATTTTTTAGTATATATTGACATTAAACAAGTATGGAATAATCTACGAAATAATCATCTTTCGTTGCAATAATTATCTTTCGAGTTTTCAGGAACTGCGGTTCCCTTATCACTTTGCGGCTTTTGTAGCATTGCATATTTTGCTTTTTTAAGGCTTATCATTAAAACCACTTTAATTGTTCGGTGAGAAAAAGGCTCGACCACTGCAGTCTGTGGTTTAAATTGTGTTTTATATATATTTTTCTGGACTGCCAGTTGGATATAAAAGACCTTCGCTTCATAGGCAAAATCACAGTTCTCCAACTGGGTTTGTTGAGTGAAGTTTAAAGTGCACTTCTGAAATAACAACCATGACCAATACGGATCTGAAAGCCCTTGAGCTCCTTTTCCAGCGACCTCTGGAACCGGCGTTCACCACTCGTGACTCGGGTAAAACCGTTCTGGAACTGCCCGATAGTTTCTACACGGATCGCTATCGCAATGATTCCGAGGAGGTGGGCAATCGGTTCGCCAAGGATGTGGACCTGAAAATCCCAATCCAAGAGTTGTCCAACGTTCCCAACCTGGACTTTACCAAAAAGGTTGGCTTGAAGGATCAGTTCTCCTTGTTTAACAATCGCCATCGGGATATCGCCAGCGAGCTGATCACTATTTTCATGGGTGCCCCGAATCTCAGGCAATTCGTATCCCTCTCCGTTTACACCAAGTAAGTATTACATATTGCTTTTACTTTTTACTGGTTAAATGGGGAATACTTGTTCTTATTTTAGGGATCGTGTAAATCCTGTATTGTTCCAGTACGCCTATGCTGTGGCAATTGCCCATCGTCCAGATACGAGGGAAGTGCCTATTACCAACATCTCTCAGGTCTTCCCAAGCAACTTCGTTGAGCCTTCGACCTTCAGGGTATGTTTATGTTATTTAAATAAAAAAATTTCACAAAATAATTAGAAACAAAAACAAAAAAAATATTTCTTAACTCTTGATAAACTTATGTAAATGTGTGAGAATGAGAATTAATTTTTTAAAATTTAAATTTTCTATAAAACTAATGGTATTGATATATTATCTTCTTTCGCAGGATGCCCGTCAGGAGGCCTCTGTAATTGGGGAGAGCGGCGGTCGAGTCCATATAGATATTCCGCGCAACTACACGGCCTCGGATCGCGAGGATGAGCAGCGCCTGGCCTATTTCCGCGAGGATATCGGCGTGAACAGCCACCATTGGCACTGGCACTTGGTCTACCCCACCACCGGACCCCGTGAGGTGGTCAACAAGGATCGTCGTGGCGAACTCTTCTACTACATGCACCACCAGATCCTGGCCCGCTACAACGTGGAGCGTTTCTGCAACAACCTGAAGAGGGTGCAGCCACTGAATAATCTGCGTGTCGAGATTCCTGAGGGTTACTTCCCCAAGATCTTGTCCAGTCTGAACAACCGCACCTATCCGGCTCGAGTGACCAACCAACTGCTGACTGACGTGAACCGCGATGATGCGACTATTGAGATCTCTGATGTGGAACGCTGGCGCGATCGCGTGTTGGCTGCCATTGATCAAGGATACGTCGAGGATGTGAGTTCTTAGAATATATCTACAGGATTAATTAACAATTTCTCAGAAAAAAAATCATTATTTTTTTCTCGATCTCAAAGATGGATTTAATCTCAAAATTAAGATGAATTCGTCTTGAAAAACAAAATCAAGACTACTTTTGTCTCTGCTTCCAAATTGCTTTATCTTAAAATTGTAACTCATGAATATTCTTTTCTTCATTTCAAGAATTTTTCTTCTCAAATAAGAGAGAAAAGTTAGTCTTGAATTATTTTCGTTCCCAATTTTTAAATTTGTTCCATTTTTTCTGACTTTTGACTTTTCTTTTTCCTTTTTTTTTGAGTGTTTAAACTCTTCTTTTTCCTTTTTTTAGCCCTCTGGCAACCGTACGCCATTGGACGATGTTCGTGGCATCGATATCCTGGGCAACATGATTGAAGCCAGTCCAGTTGTATCTGTCAACTATAACTTCTATGGCAATCTGCACAACGAGGGTCACAACATAATCTCCTATGCCCACGATCCCGATCAACGGCACTTGGAGTCCTTTGGTGTGATGGGCGATGTGACCACGGCGATGAGGGATCCGATCTTCTACAGGTGGCACGGATTCATTGACTCGGTGTTCAACAAGTTCAAGACTCGCCTGGACCCCTACAATGCTGCTCAGCTAAACTTCGATGGTGTTAGCATTGACTACATCGAGGCCAAGATTGGCGTGGGTTCTGCCAAGGCCAACACCCTGCTGACCTACTGGCAAAAGTCGAGTGCCGATTTGGCAGCTGGTCTGGACTTTGGTCCCTCGGCCGATGGCAACATCTTTGCCTCATTCACGCATCTGCAGAATGCTCCCTTCACCTATACCTTCAATGTGACCAATAATGGAGCTAAAAGGACGGGAACCTGCCGCATCTTCATCTGCCCCAAGGTGGATGAGCGTAATCAGCCACTGCGACTGGAGGAGCAGCGACTAATGGCCATTGAAATGGACAAGTTTACTGTTGATTGTGAGTGTGAAAAAAATGGAAAATTCAAAAATGCTATAGAACTAAATTTTCCTAAAAGATAAAAAATTGTCGGAAAGTTATGTCCTTTAAAAAAACAAATTTAATTTACTTTAAAGTTTAAATGGTGTGTCTCTTAAAATGGTTAAAAGGTGTAAAGATTCCACACTTTATTAATTATTCCCAAAGGTTTAAAGAACTTCAGGTTTAAGCCAGTGAACTGTGATATTAACTAATAATCTCTCAGTTCCACCTCAGACAACCTCATATGATTTACTAACATATTAATTAATCCCCAGTGGTCCCGGGTGTGAACACCATTCGCCGCCAGTCGACGGAGTCCTCGGTGGCCATTCCCTTCGAGCGCTCGTTCCGGCCAATTGGAGCGGACTATCAGCCCAAGGCCGCCGATGAGCTGGCCCGCTTCCGCTTCTGCGGCTGTGGGTGGCCACAGCACCTCCTGCTGCCCAAGGGCAACGCCCAGGGAATGCTCTTCGATCTGTTCGTCATGATTTCCGACTACTCGCAGGACGCCGTTCAGCAGCCCAACACGTAAGTGGTTTAGGGTGGCATTCACCCAATTTCCCATCATCAGCTGACCTTCTCCTCTTTCATCTCCTTGTCGCCCATTAGAGTCAATGATGCCTGCAGCACGGCTTACTCGTTCTGCGGTCTGAAGGATAAGCTGTATCCCGACCGACGCACCATGGGCTATCCCTTCGACAGGCGACTGCCCAATGCCAATCTCACCGAATTGGTCGGCGCCTTCGGCAACATGGCCAAGACCGATTTGAGGATTGTCTTCAACGATCGCGTGATTGACAAGGCCTAGGTGATTGAGAATATAATTTTCAACTGCCTTTAGGGATCAACGAAACAGGACTTGAAAAGGAATAACTCTTGGAACCTGAAACTCTCTATAAATTTACATCTACAAAAAAGTGCGTCTCCATTTGGTGTTTTATCGTTTAAGATTATATTTTATTAAAATAAATATATTATATGCAAGCATAAATCTAAAAATATTTTAACATTTTATATATTCTATTTTCCGACAAGACTCAATATACCAAGGTATCATCCTCATGACAGCTTTAGTACATTTTTATTTATTACTCTTTCGAGGCAGAAAAAAGATTACTCGCCTGTGTTGGCCTTAATATTCACAGACAACTGACACTGAAGCCAGCCAAGGATACGATAAATATTTACTCATATAAGAAATCCTCGTCTAGGTATATTTGCTGGCCAAATATTTGCTCTACACTCAGAAAAAAAATCGCCCTGAATTTTAGAAAATCGCCATACTTTTTAAGCCAAAGGCAGCTCGCCTTGCCTTTTAGAAAAAATATTTCTAAAAATTAGAAAAAAAATTTCTTAAATTTAGGGTTAGTTTTTGCAAAATTGAATAAGAAGAAGAAAAAAAAATCGGGGAATCGGGAGTTATGCCGACTGGGTGGAGTCTGTCGGTGTGGGGTGTTGTTGTTGGGGTTCTCGTTTTTCAACTTATTTTTCTCTCCTCTATTTAAACACATGGATGACGTCACGATGCTTGTACACAAACACACTTTTAATCTTTAATTGTAACTGAAATAATAACTGAAATTATTATATTATTTATTAATGATAAGCATAAAAATCAAATAACTCACTATCTTGAGGAAAACATTTTGGTCGCACGCGAGATTCGAACCCCTTACCTCACAGTTTGCAGTCAAACACTCTACTAGCTGCGCCAGGGAAGCATCACGAGAGGCGCTGTACAAAGTACATTCTCATTCTGTTCTCCTGGGTTCTAGGTTTATACCCTTATTTATCCATTATGTGTGTGTTAGCTTACCTAAATCCTTATTTGTATTAAAGTATACATTTTAATGCGCAAAAAAAAAAAAAAAAGACGCAAAAAATGTCCGCCTCGACGTGGGATCGAACACACGCTTCCGAATATAAGCGTAGAAAACAAATAATCCGCTCGCATTAGACCCCTAGGCTACCGATTGGGCCAATTTTCAAAAATGTAAGGCGATTTTTTCTTAGTTTGAAAGAAAAATTTCTGAATAACAGAAAATTTTTCTAAAAGTGGATAACAAGAGGAGTTGATCTAATCAGGGTAAGTTTTTCTTATTATTTAGAAAAATATTTCTGAAAAATAGAAATATTTTCTGAATTTCAAGGCGATTTTCAAAGTATGGCGATTTTCTAAAATTTAGGGCGATTTTTTTTCTGAGTGTAGATTATTGAATATTATTTATGCCAAAGAAATACAGATACACAGCCGCTGAAGGGCGTTTATTTGTCATAGACAGACACGCCCACAACAGGGCGAACTAATCCTATTAGACTTCAAAGCGGTTTGCCCGACAAACTTTGCGGATTGCCCGTGTCCAGGAGGCCTTGACTTTCCACCCACCACCACCCAAGAATATTGAAGAAAAATAGGAAGACATCTTAACAAACAAGGGGAAAAAAACCCCGCTGCACGTGTTGCGCTTATTAATTTTCGGCATTTACCGGGTCGAGGACTTTAATTAGACATCCACTAGATGGGGATAAAGTTCTGGACTTCGAATTAGGAAAAGACAACCAACAGCTGCCGCTAACAAATTGATTTTTAATAGATTTTTATGACTGCTATCGAGGACCAACGCAGCTTAATGATGGCATCAGTTCGCGCCACATGACGTATACGTGATGAAATTGAGTTTCTGACTGCAGTCACTAATTGGGTTGATTTGCAGAAAGAAGGAAGTATCTTTACATATGTAAGTCATTAAAAAGTAAGCTTAAAAAACACATGTTCATCCTAGATCCCCACTTATTAAAATCAAAATGTAAATGTTAGCTAGCGCACACGCTTAAAGCGCAAACTTTTTCATGTCGAAAGATAAATAAAACGGCAACATTTTATATTATCTCCTGCTTTAAAGCGAGTTCAATGCGCCCAAACAAAAAGTTGGGGCCAATGTTGACAGGCTACTGCTACGCAATTTAATCTCTTTTGTTGCCTCGAACTGGGCTTTTTTATTTCTTTTCAAAGTTGCATATTTTATGACCGTGTTTTTTGTATACGTACTGTTGCAACTGGTGTAAACTTTCCCTTAGAATTCAAATTAAATTACAGCAGGCCGGTCAATTTGTGGTACCCTAACGAAAAGTGAAGGCGTTTTGGCTTTGAGAGGATTTAAGTAAACATCCCCGAGGAAAGTAAATACACGTCTCAAACGTTATAAAAGGTAATAATAGTTGAAAGGAAAGGAAAATGAAAAGGAAAGAGAATGGGAATAAGAGAGAGAAAGTATTCCTTGCCCCGCAGCCACTTTTTTTATCACTTCTTCCTTTTTTCAATCATTAGACCTGGCCACAGGACATTCCCACTCACTTTCCTTGAATTTATTTATGTGGGTAAATTGTAGAAAATTAAAAAATAGACAAAAATACAGGGCAAGGCAAAAAAGTTGCCAAGTCCGCTTTAATTTATTTTGGTAGCCGCAGGGCGGGAAATTCGTGCGGTTTTTTCTGTAGCGAGAATGGGAAAAGCTGCCACTTAGGCATAACTTTGGCTTTAGCTTTGGGTCGTTTTTCCCATATGCTGTTGGGGGAACTTCGGCTGTTTGCTGTTATTGTTGCCATTAATGCTGCTGACTTTGGCTTCCCCCCTTTTTGGTTTAAGGGTTTGTACAAATATTTGCTTGGGTACTTGGCATATTAGCATACTTTTTCCCAACCAACCACGTATGTAATAATTTTAAATAATGGGTTTTCGGGAAAAGTTTGACTCTGATTAGGACAGCAACAAGGCTATGAAAATTAATCGACGGGCTAATGCAGCATATTTGTTTACTGCATGCGATCTGCGCAATTGATTGCTTAATTTCTGTAAAATTTCCATTCAATCAAATGTGAAGCCCATTAAAAAGTCAATCAGACGTGAATGCAAAGCAGCCCACCAAATACACGCACATGGCATATTCTATTGTGCAAACCGACCTTGCCCCAATGCACTTTCTACTATGTGTATAATATATATAGATATAGTATATGCACGTGTCTGTTTCTGTGGAAAGTAAAATCTGCAATTTGTAAACTTCATTTGGCGTGGCAAAAAGTGGATGATCTTGGGTGCATTCTTTAACGTCTATTATGTTAATTTATTTGTAATTCGATGAGAATTTTAAGGGTTTAACATATACAGTGGGGAGCAAAAGTGATTCCATGTTCAGAATATGCATGTTTGACAGATCATAAAACGTAAACCAATGAAGCAAATGAAACAAACTTTTTTTTTCTCGATTCCTTATTTAATTTGTAAGAATCAAACTTAAATACCTCAATAATACAAAAAGAAATGTAAGAGAGAAAATTAAAACACAAAAACAGAAGGCATGTACTCAGTTTTGCACCTTTTATGAAAAATTGTAAAAAAATATCAAATTAATATTTGGTCCAAAGACCCTTATTGTCTATTACATTTTTTATGCGCTTTGGCATACTCTCAACTAAATTCTGTAAAATTTTTATTCGGAATTTGGTTCCATTCAATCTCCACGCGTCTCCAGAGATCGTGGAGGTTGCATGGGGCCGATTGATACTGCCCGAGCCGTCGCTTCACAATTGACCATAAGTTTTCAATTGGATTGAGGTCGGGACTTTGAGCTGGCCACTCCATGACCTTAAACTTTTGTTTTGCCAACCATTCTTTTACAATTTTCGCCGTGTGCTTGGGATCCCCATCCTGTTGGAAAGTGATTTCTCCTTCAGGATAGGCAGTCTTATCGAGAAAATTGGGAAGACGGGTTTTTAAAATGTTTAAATAGTCCTCTTTTAGCATTATCCCATCAATTTTGTGCAACGGCCCAACGTGCCACCATGTGAAGCACCCCCAAGCCATTATATTTCCTCCTCCATGCTTTACGGTTTGCTTTACATGATGTCTCTGAAGCTTGTCACCGGGCCTATGCCAATAATACTGCTTGCCATCCGACTGGAAACGGTTAAACTTGGATTCGTCCGACCAGATAACACGTTTCCAGTCTTCTATAGTCCAGTTTTTGTGTGTCTTTGCAAATTTTAACCGAGCTCTAACATTTTTCTCGGATAGAGCTGGTTTATTTTTTTTAACAGAAGCGATATATCCAATTCTACCCAGTGCTCTTCTGGCTGTCCATCGACTAACGGTTTTATTTAACTCCTTAGAAGCCTCTTTTGGTGTTAAAAGCTTATCCTTCCTCATGTTGGACATCATAAGTCGAGCGTCAGAGTCCGTTAGAAGGCGGCGGCGACCATTCAATACGGTTTCGGAACAAACATTTTGTCTCTTTTTCACCTTGACCACCACTGACTGACTAATTTTCAGCTTCTCAGCAATTGTGCGTGTCGAACAACCACTTTTAGTCATGGAAACAATACTATTTTCGGTACCTCGCGATAATTTCTTCATTTTACAGATATAAATTGGAGACTAATTTCTTAATTCATTAAATCTACTTTGAACTATAAGAAATGTGCGATATTCCTCATTATGAAAACGAATAATAAGTGAAAAAGACATAACACGGTAAATCTGCAAGTATTGATGATAAGAAAATAGGGAGAGCAAAAACAAGTGCGAATAACGGAAGGTGCAAAACTGAGTACATGCCTTCTGTTTTTGTTTTTTAATTTTCTCTCTTACATTTCTTTTTGTATTATTGAGGTATTTGAGTTTATTTCTTACAAATTAAATAAGGAATCGAGAAAAAAAAAGTTTGTTTCATTTGCTTCATTGGTTTACGTTTTATGATCTGTCAAACATGCATATTCTGAACATGGAATCACTTTTGCTCCCCACTGTATATAATTTAATTCAACAGGACCATCTAATACTTGTACAAATTTTTAAATGCCAACTGTATAAATATTTTCTGTTTTTTTCTGATATAAAAAGTCTTGAAATAGTCCTACAAAAATCAGATGTATATCAGAACATATCCAACATAATAGATTCATTTAGCCCCAAGCACATGCTAACACATTGTTTGGTGCTATTTTTGTCGCCTGTACACATAAACATTGGAAGGGGGACCGAGCCTAATAATGCCTGCCTTATGCCAATGAAATAATAAATCAAATAATCCAGCTGGTCTGGACAAAACCAACCCGAGTGACTGGCTGAATATTATCCAGAAAATTAGCCTGAATTTGTACAACTAAGGTTAATATGTTAAAGATAATATTACAGCATATTTATTTTATTTTTCAAACTTTAATGAAATGATTTTTAAATATAAATACAATTATTTCAATTATTTTCTCAATTAAATTAATTAAAGCAAAATCGTAATGGTAATTGAAAGCTAATATTTCGAACTGCGCTGTCTGTTAAACAAACATATGGATATGTTTGCTCTGGCTGACATGCATGAAATCTGATTCTGATGTTGATTTAGACCTGGGTTCCTTTCCGCGAATAACGCAGCCCAGCCACCACAATGCGACTGACAGAGCGATGTCAAGTGAGTACTTATATTGTGATAGAACATCATCATTAGCATATTCTCCGTCGATTGCGATGCCGATGCCAAGAGTTCCTGGGCCCTGGAGCATGCTAATTGTTTGCAATTATGCTTTGAGTCAGCTTCGACTTCCAATGGAAATGGAATTGGAATTGGCAGCGTGAAATCAGTAGCGGCATCACTTGAATGCATTAAAATGTTGAAATGCTTCCTCGCATTCGCCCGCTCTTTTCAAGGGGAATTAGGTTAACCGCAGGAAATTCATTATTAATTGAAACGCCACAAGGTTTCCCACCATATTTAGATAATTGGAAAACCGCGGGCATGGAAGTCAATTTATAATTAATTGTTATTATTTAAAGCTTGATTTAAAAGCAATAAACGAGGACTACCTATTTATTGGCCGTAAATAATGTTTTAGGTTCGATTTAAATTTATTGAAATAAAAAGAAAGATAATTGTGAAATGAAACATTCACCTTCACCATTTAATGTTTAATGCTGCTGGTTATTGCCTACTAATAACAATTAAATTTAATTTATCTGAAACCTTTGAAGAGACTTACTCACTGATAATTTGGCATTTATTTTTGGAGCATGTTTATTTGCCACGCGCTGGCACGCCGACATCTACCTTTCGCCTTACCTTTCGGCAACGCTAATATTTAAATTAATTGCTAATAAACCATCAACGAATGTTTACACTTGGGCCAGCGACTTGGACAGTTCATCAGGGCAGAAACTGTGTTAATTTTATAATTCCTGCAGCATTGTTTATGGCCCCATTGGAATTGACTTAAACAAATCACTTTTATCTGGCCCCCTTTTTGCCTCAAATTCAGGTGGCAGTACTGCAAACGACAGCTGTGTTATTTTAGCGTCCAATGCGATACGTTGGGAATTTATGTTTTATGCACAAACACACACAACGTTCACGGGGAGTAAATAAACAGGCTTCGTTTGTTTTGCCAAAAAAAAAAAAATTACACAAATAACAACTTAAGCGATAAAGTACTGCTAAAAGCTATTAACTATGATGTCAGAGAGCCATATGCACTGTCGATCTCATCTGCCAGGCACTGGAAAAAATGCGATCCATGTTCGATTTCTTTGGGATTTAAAGAAGTAGCCAACCTTGATCTTCAGCTTTTTTTAGTAAATCTAATATTTGAAATTAATAAATCTTAAGAAAGTTCTAACATTGTGTGTGGTGCATATATAATTTTCTATAACAGTTTATTTCTTTCAGTGTCTTGTTTCTAGGAGAATTTTCTTTTTACATCCCATATGATCACAACCATAACTGTGTCGGAACTTGAACTTGGCAAGGGTATTTTGTTCTTTTGTATTCAATCATAAAATCATTTTCCACATGTATACCTGTAAGTTTATGGCCGCTTTTCTTCAAACAATAGGATAATTACCAAATGTGAGGTACTAAATATAATGAGTGGGGCAATAACCCTTGTATTTCTAATATGTGGTTAATAACGCTCAGAGGATTCAAATTATTAAAAAGTTAAGTAAGAAAAATTATGAAATATTAAGTTAAATTATAAAGGTTTTTATAAGAAATAAATTGGTGATTAAACGCAAAATTTAAAAGAAATTTTAATAATTTTCCAGAGCAGTATTTTGTGCACCTGAGATGCAAGGGAATTTTTACAGCAAATTAAGTTTGTCTTTGCCTGCAATTTGGTAAGTATGAAAATATTCATTTCCTCGCACCTTGATATTTCCCCCAGTTGGCCAAAGGAACGCGGCTAGAATTGCGGCTTCCCTGAGGCATTTTGAGGCTTTGTCGCGGTCACAATGTGCATAGAAATGCGATTCAAGGCAGGGACAGACAACAATTATTCTTATTCTCATTGCGAGTGTGGGCGGCGCACATGGGAAACGCTCTTGGGAAATGGGAAAACAAAACGGAAGGCTGCGTCGCCAGCATCTGCCTGCATTATAAAGTTAAAACGGAACAAAAAGGAGGAAAGTGAATATTTTAATTTTGCTAGAGTGCAGCTCATATATATAGAGACGAAATATTAAAATATAAGCTTGACATTGTTTCCCCCATGAAATTAACTTATTTAAATGTCAAAGCTTTTATGGGGCTTTGTATAAAAACTTATTTATTTTTAAAGAATAGGGTTTTCTTATACCTTTAGCGAGACCCAAAAAATCCCATTACGAAAATTACATCCAATAATTGGTCCGATCAAAAAGTTACAACATAAAATAATCTCTCATATTTATTTCGTAATTACAATGTGCTAGCTCAGTTGACTCTTTATTTTAAGTCCAGATCTGTAATGTTTTTACCATTTTTTATTCTTCTGTTAATAAATTGTTCAAGTAATATTTTTAATCAATTCGGCGACAGTTATGGCCACGAGATTAGGTCAGCAGGTGCGGAGGATAATGCCAAGTGCCCCCAATTTGCCAAAGCAGTTTTCAAACCAACAAAAGGATCCTGCGATGCTACAGCCCTTGAGGGATCAACATTTCCCCAATTGCCAGTGCTATGAACCGATTTATCGGGACTCGAAATTGAACAAACCGAGTGGACAAATCATTTACCTAGGACGTAATCCCTATGAGGAGGGCTAGGAATCAACTGCTTGGAGACATTAGTCAAAGCGTATGCTACCGATAAACAAAATTTCGAGTTGTGTAAAATTCCAAGCGTTAAATTCTGTATATTCAGTGTTGTCCTATTATTATGAGGAGTCTCAGACGTGGCATCACCTCAGCGACCGCTGGTGGTTTCCGAAGGATTTCACCAAATCTCCTGGGTCAAAACTTCAGTTCTCTTCCTTCATGGTGTCCACCTCTTCAACAGCCTTCAAACAACTTTGTGAAAAACATGGGAGCAAGCCATAAGTATGGAAACTACTTGAGATTTATTGAGGATCCCGAACTACCCAAACTGATAAAACTTTATGATCGAGTTTGCCGCGACTGTCATAAAAAACCCGTTGGCTCGACAAAGCTTAGGAGGTCTGAGTTAGATGATCCGCCGAAGAAACATCGGCACAAAAGCTATTTTCCCAAATATACCACCGGTATTGGGAAAATACCTTTTGGTTCTATTAAGCTTAAGAGGTCGGAGTTAGATAATCTGGCACGGAAGTATTGGAACAAAGGTAATTCTTCCAAATTTACCATAGATGTTGGGAATATGGATTTTCCCAAGGACTTCATAGGTGTTCGGAGAATACCTGTTGGTTCTGCCAAGCTTAAAAGGTCTGAGTTTGATGATTCTCCAAGGAAATATTGGAACAGAAGCGGCATTCCCCAATATAATATAGATTTAGGGAATATACCCCTTGGCTCTACCAAGCGTAAGCAATTTGAATCAGATGATCGGCAAAGAAAAGACAAAAGCGATTCCCCAAACTCCTTAGATAAAGATTATTATACTTCAAACCGGCCAACGATCAAATCCAACAGTAATCAGTTGGAAACAAAAAAGTCAGAACGTGGTTTAAAAAATTCTGAAGATTTTAATAACTACAATCCAAATATTCCTTCAAAAAAATCACAAAAAAATGGCAAGTCTTATAAATATAGTAGAAATATCAAAAATGGTTCACCAGACAAACCAAGAAATCCGACTAAGAGCAAAAAAAAGTCTTTAAAAAGGACTCTAAGTAAGCAAACGAAAACAAAAACTCAGATTAACAGCAATCGGAATTCTGTAGAAAAGTCGCAGCTCCCAGCACTGGAGTCAAAAAGAAGTATGGATTCTGTGGAGCGTTTCCTACAAAATTTTAGATCTAGTAAGATAAGAGAGTCTTTAAAAATAGGTCCCAAGAGTATAAATTCAAGCCCACATGCTCTCAAAAACTCGCGATTGAATCTTTCTAAAATAGCGTCAGATAGTATAAAATCGAATCCATACATTAACGAGAGCAGTGAAAATCAACCTTCAAGAACACTTGCTAGAAGCAAAAAATCCAGCGTGTTTTTTCTCAAGAACTCTCATTCGATAATTTCTAAAAAAGAGTCTGGTAATAAACTATCTAAGTCCGATTTTATTAAGAAGTACCGATGGAGCCCTTTTAATATAGGGGGAACCAAACATCTTTTGAAGCGCTATCGAACGAAGCCTTTCAAAATAGGTTCACATACTTTTAGAAGTTCTCAAAATAACCCTTATAAAATACGTAAAAGGAGTATGAAATCTAGCTCGCATTTTCTCAAAAACTCTCAATTTAAATCTGCTTCTGCCAAAGTAAGTGATGATGAGATTTCCAAAAAATCAATCAACGATGATAACTCGGACAAAGAAGAAACCTTCAACCGTAACAGCATGGATTTCAGAGGTTTTTTACAATCGGACAATGTATCCACCCTATCCTGGCTCCCAAGGATAGAGTTCTCCAATATCAATCCCGGGCCCATCGATCTCATCCATTTCGGTCCCATCGATATAGAGACGCACAAAAGAGATTTCTTAACCTTGCATAAAGTCAATCCTGCTGGCAAAAGGGGCTGGTACAAAATTCCTTGGCCAAATTCTTTTGAACCCAGGAAAAGAAATGCAAGGATAGATGATCGGCAAAGCGCTTTAGCGAAGGGACGTCTTTTGACCAAGAAGCTGTTGGAGAAAACTGATTCTCCCCCTAGAAGGGTGTTCTATTCTCGAAAACTCTCTAAATACCATTCCTTTAGATTTGAAATCTGTCCAAGAAAGCGCAGAACACCAAGAAAAACGGTTTCTTGTCAAACGGAAGTTAACCGAAATACCTGTGAACTATGTGATATCTGTCGACTGAACAGTCAGCCCGATGAACCATTCATGGTTGAGATGAAAAAGCGCCAGAATCGCGAAGCGTTGAAGAGTTACTATCTTAAGATGAACAAAAGGAGCAAGGAATGCTGTAAAGAAAAAGTTTCGGGTAAGGAACCAGTCTTTAAGCCTTCAGCACTAAGGATCAGTTCCACATTGACCAGCTCATCAGAACCCAACACTAGTTGCAAGTCGAATCTTAGCGGGATGCGCCACCAATTGGAGCAATGTCTGGACATGCTGAGCCTATGTGGCCGCCTTATCGAGGATCGTTTGCGACTTTCCAGGATAGAAACAAGGTGCCGGCCCTGAACCAAACCAGAGTTGAACTGGTCTCGACCAGGGCCCCAGATGCCTGGGACAATAATGGATAATGGATCTCAATGTATAAACCCCTTCAATTGGGTTTTTTATACATGTATTTTTATTATCAACGGACAAGGTGTTTTTCTGCTGAAACTGAATAAATGTATTTTTAACTGTCAAGCTATTACTTATTAATAATTATTAATTATAAGGGTGGTAAATACAGAAAATTATAAAAAAATGAAATCCTTATCGGGCATCAAAAAATTCCATTAAATATTATTAAAATAATTTTTAAAAATTTGTGTGATCTGAGTTGCCTTTATTTTACTGTATATATCCCCTTATTTAATTTATTAGCATCTTCAAAAAAACCAATGAAATGGCTGATCCTTCCAAACGAACAAATTTTCAAGAAAGTAAGCCAAACGGTTTTATTAGTTGTCTAAAAACTTTACATGAAAACCAAACCAAACATAAAAATTGCAAGTATTCAAATTGGGAATATCGCCCTTACAATGAACATTTTGAAAAACAGCCGTGTGTTGAATAGAAATTGTCTGCGGGACAAGATAAAAAATTTATCGCCCCTGCTGCGAGCCTTGGACTTTGGACCACCGAACAAGGACTCTGTATTTAGGGCCACATGGAGCTACTATGCCAGCGACTGTCAGGAGCGACTGTCGAACATTCGCAGGCGCATTGAGCAGAACGCTAGAGTATTAGCTCCAAGAAAAGCTCCACTTTCTGTGGACTTGGAGATACCCTGTAATGAGAACCAGCTGCCTGGCGGTCTGGATTTGGATGAGCACATCTACCAGGAATTGGTGTCCTGTTTTCGAAACGCAGAAAGCAGTGATTCAATAAAGAAAACCACGACTAAGCGTTTGAAACCCCAAAGGTTCCTCAATATGGGAAAGTTCTCCACTCCAGAACAATGGATTTCTTGGAAGCGTGAGGAACAGCAAGTGGACCAGCTGCTAAAAAAGTCCTTCGATCCTTACTTAAAAGAAGAAATGTCCAAGAAGCTACAGCATTTACAAAAACTCATTCAACGACGTCCTCTAATTTTGATTCCAACTCAGGAAGAAACAATTGAAAAACAAAAGGAGTCAATGCCAAAAAAAAGAAAATCTCGACAGATATCTATCGATAATTTAAAAAAAAGTGATATGAAAATAGGAGATATATATAAAAAGTATTCAATCAACACTCCCACGAAATCAGTTAATTTTAATTCCGGAGAAGGCCCAATAAAGTCAGTAAATGAAAATAAATCATCTATAAATTCAAGTAAAAAACCAAAAAGCCTGAGAAAAAAAAATAGCAAGAATTCAAGAAGTATCGAAACAAATTTCAAAGATTCAAATTCAGAAAAGGAAGATTTACCCTTTGGAAAAAGCTTCTCAAAATCGGCAATGAGTTTACGGAAACCCCTTACGAGCTTGGCAGATAGATATCAACCCTCTTCTGTAAATTTGAGAAAAAAAAGTAGCTCGAAAATAGGAGATAAATATAAAACGACCACGAATTTAGAAGACTTAAATTCAAGGATAACCCTAACAAAGATGGCCAATGAAAATAAATTAACTATAAATTTAAGAAAAAAGGCAACGAGATTTGCAGATAAATATAAACCCACTTCCGGTAATTCGCTATTGAACAGGTTTATTGCCGATCATCCGAGTCTAGAAAGTGTCGCTAGCTCAAGACGTTCTACTAAAACGATAGAAAGTCGCCCCAGACCGAGACGAATAGAAAAACCCAGAAATAGTAGCGATGCAGATGATGGAATATACGGCACTGATGATCAAGGGGATTCCCTACTAATGGAAAAAGATAAATTAATAAATTCGGAGAATCTTGAAAAAGATCCAGAGTCAAAAATATCAACAACTGTGATACAAAGAAAAAGTCACGAGCTAAAGAAAATCCATATTCCAGAGGAACTAACATCCTTAAGTCAGATTAGCGATATACATTCGAGCAGCGATACCCATTCAAAAAAGTCAATATTTAAGGAATCCTTATTACTCAAGACCCCAACAGAGGAACATAAAACTGAGGATTTAAGACAGGGTTTTGTATCCCAAAAGAAATCCCAATCTTTAACTAATCTACAAGCACTGAAAGCGAATGAATACATCCACGATATCTTAAAAGGTCTGACTCAAACTGATTCATCGTTTATCGGCGGCTTAAAAGACAAATATAGTGGTTCGGCAGTGTCAATCTACAAACGCCAATTTGCTAATGATATTAAAAATCAGGAGAGCAAGAGAGAGGTCGTTAGTGGAGATCACCACGGTTGGTACATAAATGTAAAACAACATTTATCTATCGTCAACAAAATGCGTCCCATTATATTTAAAAAGAAACAACAGAACGAAGTGGTTAGTAAACATTCTGAAATCGTTCCGTCAGAAAGCCTAGAAATAACTCCTTTTCGAGAAACTCTAATTGGTATACCAAGTGATAAGACACCGAATAGTAGCACCTATTCAAAAAATTCTGATGATGAAATACGTTTGAGTTTTCCATCAAAGCCGTTGGTAATTTCCAATCTAATAGCAGACTTTATAGACTCTTATGGCTCTGAAATAAGTTTTCTTGCATCATATCCGGATTTATTCAAGCCCAATGATCTGGAAAAGTTTCAAATGAAGACTATCTTTAACAAGAAGAAAGTAAAGAAGCACAAGAAACCCAAGGTAAAGGAAGTTATGGAAGTGAAGAAGGTGCCATCGAAGCGATTGGTCTGTTCTTTATGCAATTTGGTTAGGAGGAGACAATCCGAATTGCGACCTTATATGCAGAGGATGCAGAAGAGACGCCAACAATTGGAACTAAAGAACTATTACACCCAGAATTTTCTAAAATGTCGGCGGAATCCACAACAGCATGCCCAGGAACAACAGAAGAAAGTCCGTACCCGCGAGATCCTTTCTAAATACTGTAAGGCCCTTGATATTTGCCAGGAGATCGTGGAACTGAGGATACAAAAACGATCTGAAGAATGTCCGCTGGGATAAAATGGATGTAGGGAATGTAAACTTGAATATTCTGAATAGATATAAAATGTCCTCTTGTTCTTGAATATAAAATGATAGGAACTAAAAATCAATAAGGCTTTTAACTTATAATTTATGAATATAGCCTAGAAACTTAGTTTCATTTTGAATTCACTTGTTCATCGTTTAGATAATATCGTTCAGTTTTTCATAATAATTTAATTTTTATCCATTTAAACACATTGAAGTGATATTCATATCAAATATGCTTACATTACCTAGTAAAAATCCGAGCCAACGACCTGAGAGGCAAGTAACTCACGATTACCCGGTGTCATGCCATTTGTAAGCAGTTCATTCAGATGACTTTTACACAACCCTTAAAGATCCCCCACTCATGGCACATAAAGTTTATTAAAATTAACATTTGCCAGATAAAACTGTTTCGCGTGCATCCTTTTCCGCAAAATTTATTCCAATGCGAACAACTGCCTGAGTAAAAATAATAATGTGCCATAAAATTCCAGTTTTTTATACCCATCCAAGCCCAATTCCCATCCCGTGCGCATGTCCTCTATCCTTCGACCGTTGAATTTTGCAACCTACGCGGGCCTCCTCTCCTCCCCTCTTTTTCGCGAACTCTTCAGCACAAGTGCAACTACATAACCAGGGGGAAATACAAAAAAAATGGGGAAAAACTAGGGAAAAATCAAAGTGAAAAAGCAACAAAACTCGGTCGAGGGCTTTAGATAGTAAAAAACTTTTATATGGAATTTTTTGGTTGCAATGTGGGCAGTTCCAAGTAGTTTCTTCTGGTTTATTAAATTTAATGCTAATTTACTGCGTCACCCTTTTTCATACTGTGAAATTTTTTATTCATACTCACGCCTTGTCAGGAAGTTAAATTTAGTTCCGTTTTATTATCTTCGCTTCAATATGCTTACTAAAATTTAGTGGGTAGATTTTAAAAAGTATAATATTCAGCTTCCAAAATATAAGGCAAAAAAGTCTGCCACAAAATGTTTTTATATTTTTTCATAGGTTAAATGGAAACCAAAACAAGAGAGAACGCTATAGTCGGGTGCCCCGACTATCAGATACCCGTTACTAAGCTAAAGGGAATGCGAAGGAGATGGAGATAAAAACTTGGATCCGCCGTAACTTATTAACGAATGGTCCGATTTAAAAAATGTCTTCTACATTTCGATAGTTATTAATAAACACAACAAAACTGCATTTGTACTTTTCCAAAATATTGAAATTTTTAAAATCGTATATAGAGGGGGCGTGGCACCCCTTTGAAACAAACTTGCGCTGCGTAGGAACTCCTAGAATCTGCATGCAAAATGTCAATCTTCTAGCTTTTATAGTTTCCGAGATCTCAGCGTTCATACGGACAGACAGACAGACAGACAGACAGACGGACAGACAGACGGACAGACGGACATGGCTAGATCAACTCGGCTAGTGATCCTGATCAAGAATATATATAGTTTATAGGGTCGGAAACGCTTCCTTCTACCTGTTACATACTTTTGCACGAATCTAATATACCCTTTTACTCTACGAGTAACGGGTATAATAATCTTTAAGTAACTAAATGAATGTCTGTTAACTTAAACGTTTAAAATGAATAAACAGTGAGTGAAGCCCTGTTAAATGAATTTATTCATTTATTAACGAGAGGAAAGATAAGGGGTAAATCACTCAAAAGCCGGGCGCCGCGAAGTATGCAACGCCGGAATGCAAACGCGTACAGGTGAGAGGACAGGTGTCAAGGTGCTAAAATGCGTTGGAGCAGCTGCGGCTGATGCCCCGTGGCAGGGAAGCAAACAATCGGGAAACTCGAACGGGAGCGGAAAAAATGCTAAAGGAAAATGTGCGATGGTTTATGTTTGCTGCTCCGGCGGTTGCCTCATAATTGCCTCTAAGTGGCTTAAGTTATTAAAACCAATTAAGCGAGTTTCCTGCCAAAAGGAAATTCCGTTTAATTGCAACCGAAAGGCGATTTAAAAAATAAGGCAATTGCATACAAATATAATTGGAAAATTGTCTAATTGGCTCAGCGGCCAAGGCAAGTTAACAAGCTGCTCCATCAGCTAATTAAACTTTTTAGATTAAAAACCCAACCTTCAACTCAATCTCTGCGGAAGTTGTAGTTTCTTCATCAGTTCAAAAGTTGAGAGGTTTACACAAGGACTAAAACGCTTCCAACTTTAGGGCAAAATCTTCTTAAGACGGATGGTAATTCGCGCTTCGCAGAGTGCAAAGAAGAAGTTTTAAAGTTTGGTTAGGAGGATAACACAGCATTTTGGCATGTTTTGGTGTAGAGAGAATAACAGTTAGGATTGGATTTAATATAAACCAAGTTTTGACGGATTTGGATAATTTAAATTTAAAATTCTTATATTAACTTATATTCATATTTTCTAAGATCTTTTTCAAAATATAAATGCAAATAAAATTAAGTCTAAGCTAATTGCCTTAAAAACTTATAAAGCAACTAAAAACCCTTAAAGTGCTTAAAAATTCTTTAAAAAAATAGTCGATTATGTTAGTTCATGAAACAATAGAATTTCGCTCTTTATTCATCAATTTAATGGATGCTATCATCACATGCATATTTTCACAAGCACTCAACCGCAAAGCTTTTGTTTTGTATGGAATATGCCTGATATATTTCCATATTTACACATCGATTTCAGTTCGCTTCAATACCTTTCGATATCGGTACACAACATTTAACGAAGTATTCCCTTTTTTGCCAAAAATACGAAAATTCGGCGAATCAAATCGCTTTAATAGGAAAATGCCAACGAAAATCCGTTCACCACGCAACACGTTAACATAATTATGGAACAAGCTCACTGGGGCCCAATCAATCATACGCAGCGTGAGCCGCTTGACATTTTCGGGGTGCCCAGACACGATAATCACACACACAGAAAACCTTTGAAATGCAAATCAGGGGAATCATCCGCAAAATCATACATATGTACTCACATTTTATTCCTGGAGGAGCGGGTAAATTTGTTTCTGCCGCGTCGTCGATTGCCGATGTTCGTTGCTGGTTTTGTGCTTGTTGCTGGTTGTTCTATGCTGTTATCAAATCAATTCAACAGAACTTTATTTGCGGGAAAGCCGAAAAAAAATAATGGAAGAAAAACAGCAGTCAGGGAAAGAGAAAAACCCAAGGAAAAAAGCGTAATCGTAACGAAATTTCTTTTCAGGCGCGTGTCAAAAATGTTGTTGAATTGTAAATATGTTCTGCACAGAGAAAAGTTCTCGAAATGAATTTTAGAAAATTTTAAACAAGCTTGAACTTTATAGAAAGATTCAATCGATAAAAAATCGTTTAAAAATAAAATTATTGTTTTTTAAATACCGACAAAAATGTATATTTAACAAGAAAGGAAGCTACCTTCGGCCAGCCGAAGCTTATATACCCTTGTAGATAAAGTAATGCCTACTCGGTGCAGTTCCAGGAATTCCAATTTTGTTTTTAAGTAGTCAAGAATCAAAACGCCTACTTCCTACAAAGTTACAATGAATTTTCTTATATTTGTTTGAATTTTCCTATGGGAGCCTTAAGATATAGTGGTCCGATCCGGCTCGCTCCGACATATGTACTACCTGCAATAGAAAGAAGACTTTCGGGAAAGTTTCATCGCGATAGCTTTAAAACTGAGAGACTAGTTCGCATAGAAACGGACAGACGGACAGACGGACATGGCTAGATAGACTCGGCTATTGGTGCTGATCAAGAATATATATACTTTATGTGGTCGGAAACGTCTCCTTCACTGCGTTGCAAACATCTGACTGAAATTATAATACCCTCTACAAGGGTATAAAAATATAATTTTTAAAAGATTCTCTAAATTAGAAGTAGCACTTTATCGAAAAATTTGTAAATTCAATGAAAATTAAGCACTTTTAACTGTAGCTTTGGTAGTTTTTTTTCTCAGTGTCCGAGTCACATTTACACAGATACACAGTCTACGATTGTGTGTGGATTACATATGGAAATTTCCTTGGGATTTGCACGGTTTTGTTTTTTGGTTTTTCGTGTGTGCAGGGTCAGATTATAATCGTATTTTTCAATCTGAATAAAATTAGCCGAGATTTTTCATTGCTCTTTCAGTTTTATTTTGGCGTAGAATTTATGGCAGTCGCTTAAACACCTTTCTTAGGTTTTATTTTTTTGTTTGGATGGAACACATGTGTTGAATCACCGAAATTTCGCTTTAATAAACATGTGCCAAAAATTAAATCAACTATACGTGAGTGTGAGTTTATATTTTTTTGATTACTTTTATAATTTATGTCTTCAGATTTCGTTTTGTTTGAAATTTGAATTTGCACATTTCACTTGCAACATTGTTGCTGGCAACTTTGAACTAGTTTCCCGTTACAAGCGTTTTCAATTTTCCTCAATTTTCCAACTCGCACACACACACACAAATATAGAGAGGAAAAGGGAAGATAAATCCACTGATAAGAGTTTCGATTGAGTGACGGATCCATCCGCTATACCTTTCGCCACGTCCGACTTTCGAAGCCACTCAACAGCAACTGTTGCAAATGTCGAAAAGGCAACTTGTGGCTGCTGCTTTCCTCGGCTGCTTTTCCTCGACGTCGACGTCGACGTCGCAGCATCTCTTTTTCCCGAGAGCTTTTCCGACCCGAGCTTTCCCTCGCACCACACGGCAAACTGTTGATTGGTCTTCCGAAAGTGAAAATGTGTGTGTCGGTGTTGTATTAACCAGGAAGAGAGCACAAAAGAGAGTCTATACTTACTTAGTTAATTAGTACTCATTCAGATGGCAGTAAACAGTAGTTAGTCCCTGTTTATGGGCCTTAAAATGAGTCATTAAAGATGGTATTAATAAATGGAAATGAACAGAAGAGGTAAATATGCCACTTCTCAATTATTTAATGGACTTCATTTTTATTAAACTTTAAAGTTCTTAGTAGCTGAAAGGCAATGGAATTCAAATTAATAAAATTAATAAAATATTTTTTTATTGTATAGGAAAAGTTTTAAATTAAAGTAGTAATTTTTTGAATTAAATTTACAATTTTTGTTTTAGAAAATTCGTCTAAAGAATTAGCAGTTATTAAAAAATAACTTAAATATTTTCCTATAACCAGAAAATATATTTTTTAGCTTTTCTAATGGGTTGAAAATTTCTCTTTAAAATGTTCAGTATAACATAGTAATAATAAATAGACACACCCTCCAAGTTAACCATAATCTGCCTAAATTTGTTTTCAATTCTGTTTATTTGTGCGCACCACAAAGCCATTAAAGCTGATGTTTACCAAAGCAACAGTTACCAATGTTAACGGGGCACACAAATACACATTTTCTGTGGCTGGAAAAGAAAAGCTCCCCGTGGAACTTGCTCTTACTTGGAGACCGCAAATAGATGGCACATTGGCAGGAATTAACGCGCTTTTAATAGATTAGACCCCCTAGGCTGTTCGGCTCTTCGGTTCTTCAGGGGCACATTGTGATGGTGCAATGATGATGCCGCTCAAGGACCTCTGCACCCGATCCGCAGATAATGGCACCAGCCTGACCAACGCCACCCACAACAACACGTTCCCACCTCTTTTTTTATGACTATCCCCAAGTGGAACGAGGACACACGTTTGGCAAATTTTCACAGGCAGAAGGACGAACACCTGGACTAATTGATACGCTGGAGCAGGCACATGGAAAAAATAATACACAGCTTCCTCGCCTTGAAATATTTTTAATTTTTAAAATTACTATAAAAACTATGCATAATATTTATTGAATGTATCAATAACAAATGTATTATTTTATATTGGTTATATGTTATACATATATTTATACATATAAGAGAAGAAGAACTTAAAACTTAAATCTTTCTTTCTAAATCTAAAGTTTTCTTGAAAAGATTAAAAGATATTATAATGAATATAAAAGTATAGTTATATATCCTTTTGAAAAATACTATTACAGTATTTTTAAAAGATACTTATTCAACATATTATTAAATTTCTTATTAAAATAGAGGAGAAAAAACTATTAAATTTATTTTTTTAAAATAGTTTTTGAATAGTTTATCATTTTTTCGGAATCTTAGCCATATTTTCTCTCTGTGTGAGATTGCCTGTAGTAATTTTCCTCCTTTGATACGGTAAAAACAATTACCTGCATGTTTTTGTGCGTGGGCGTGAATTAAGCTCACATTAAAATTATCAGGAATGAAAAGGGCCGGGATAAACGAGGCGAGGAAATCAAATTGAGTCGTTTACTTCATTTAAAGCTGTGCCGCCAAGTTCAGGGACACGAGGGTTACTTCGCGTCCTTGCGGCCATTTTGTAAGGTCCTGTATGTATATTCGTATATATGTTTATGCGATGGGAAAAGCTAACGGGCCATGTCAACACAAGGTTAACTTTTAACTTCCTCGAACGACGTTCGTTGACTTCGCAGTGTATATTAAGCTAAAGCTGCTATTCTGCTGTTTTTGTGCTGTTTTCCCTCACATTTTGCTGGGCTAATTAAGACGCTCGTCCTTCGCAACGGTAATCCTATATCCGCGATCCGGCGACCCTGTTTTGCAGCTTCGCATTACCGCTGAATGCACGCGCATCTGATTATGCCGCATTATTGCCAACAGCGTCATTTTCCGCGCTAATAATTACGCGGAATTTGGACGTTAAGCTCTAATGTCCCTTAGTGTATACTAAGAAATAGTTGGTAAATTAAGAATGTTAGCTACTTTTAGAAATTAACTTTTAATGCTTAATATTTTATCTTCAATACCCTAAAATTAGGATTATTAGATTTTTATTTTAAATTGGCGCCCAAGTATGTAAACATACAACGTAGCTGCTTGCTTCAAATCCACATGGCAAAACGGTCACAAGCGAGAGCATCTTTCTAATAAAGGGAAATTGACCAAAAAGTATAAATGTTTAGATATCAGCGAATATTTCACAAATTTCTATAGATGGGAAGGCAAAAGACAATAATTTCGTATGGAGAAATATCATGAACTTGTTGAATTAGGGGAAAGAGTGTCATTCTTTCCTGTTAAACTAACCTAAACAATTTAATTAAATGCATTTCTATTTAAAAATGGCTCCCCATTCTTTATTCATTCATTCTCAATTTAAAATTAACGCATTTCCCGCCAACATTTACAGCGAAAAGTTAACAGTGCTATAGAAATCCCGAGAAACTATCGATACTCTATGTTAACTTCGACTTTTCAGCGTGACCGTATCCGCATTTTAGAACAAGTTAAAATGGCCGGACGGTATTATTTGATTCCGCGGTCATACTGCTAGCGTTTTGCTTTGGTTGAAAATACAATTAAAAATTGATTTGGAAGTATTTAAATATTCTGCATCGCCAGGTGAGTGCGTGTTGCCAGCATTGGCATCTCCTTCGGCCGGAAACAGTGTTTTGATTCGAGTAAACCAGCTAAATGTTGGCCAAAACTAGTTTTGAAAAGGCGCGTCATGTGCTGGAAGTTCGAAGGAAATGCGTTACAATGCAGTCGAAGTTGCAGTTGCATCTTTGAGTGTTTCTCAAACAATTACCAGTAACTAACTAATTTTCCACCTCCCTCCCACTTTTAGTCCTTCAACAAAAAAATCTGCGAAAAACGAGCGGTGGCGGCATCGAAAATACCGAAAGAAGCAGAAGAAAAAGAAAAATTTGCAAGGCTGCGTCTGTGTGAGTGAGCGTGTGCGAGCGCGCGTGTTGCTGTGTGCGTGTGTGTACGAGTCTTTTTTGCCTTTGGTGCGTGCGCTGTTTTTCTTCAAAAAAGGGGATAAAAATAAAAGGAAAACACAGGAAAACTGCAAGGAAAAGAGGAGTAAAGCAACCGCAAAGCAAACACCCAAAAAACACAAAACAAACAAGTGCCGCTGCAATGGAGAAGAGAATAGAACTGGAGCGACGCGCACGCAAAGTAAATCAGGTAAGTCGAGAAAAAAACGCGCCACAAACTTAGTTTAAAACCTAAATTAAAGTGTGTAAATCTAGTTTCAATTTGTGTTTAGACGCCAT